TGCTCTTTATAAACCTAGCACTGCCTCTAAGAGGGTAGAGAAAGGCGACGGCGCTAGGTATTCTCCCTTCTTCTTTCTTTTTGTTTCCCTTTTCTTCTTTTTTCCTTCTTTCCCTTTCTGAATCAGTGGTTTATGGTTTTGTTTGTATAAACTAAAAATGGATTTCATATAGTACTACTTAATGCTCCATTAAGTTCAAATTGCAATCAAGTTTATGATTTTCTATTTTATAGAAAATTTACTAATTAACTTCCCATGATTGAAAACTAAGACATAAAATTCTATTTTATTCGTCTTAACCTCTTATTCAATACTTATTTCATTCTTTGTGAACAATTGATTTTAATCTATTCAAAATAACATCTTAGTTTAGTAAAAAAATTGAAACTTGAAAGACGTACCCACGCACCCGTGTCGAAATTTGGATTCTTTTTGGCCATATCTCTGTATCCTACATTTTAGAAAATAAAAGATATGATACTTAGGTACGTATCCGTACCCGAGTCCGAGCATCATAGAGCTTGTCGTTGTTGATGTCATCTCTCTCATTTGGTGCAGTGGTCGTTTTGACTTGTGATGTTATGAATATTTCAGTTTGCAATATTGCAGAAATCAGGCCCTTACAGAAGTTTGGACCTTGGAGTTTTGAATACTTCTATTTTTTTATTTTTCTTTTAAGCTAGGATCATTGTGATTGTAACAACACTTGATCTTCTAGGACTCTAAGCTCTGAAGCAGAAAGATCCCCTGAAGATTCAATTATTTGTCTTCATAATTAAAAATATCAATTTTGATGTCAGATATAATAAGTCAATCATTTAATCCATTTCGGGATTATTACGAGCCTGAGAGACTTAAATGACAAAGGGCTTGAGGCTAATTGACTCTTCATCTGCACAATTGTTCCAGGGGCGCAATGTCATTATTGAGCAAAGCCATGGGAATCCCAAGGTCACCAAGGATGGTGTCACCGTAGCCAAAAGCATCAATTTTATGGATAAAGCAAAAAATATTGGTGCAGATCTTGTGAAGCAGGTTGCCAGTGCAACTAATAAAGTTGCTGGTGATGGTAATCTATTTGCTTAAGCCTTCAATTCTATTAGAACTCTTTAGCTGGATTTCGTTAAGCAATAACTGAACAGACCTGAAAAGATGTCTTTTTTTTCCTCAGAGGTTTTAGAAATGGGGGGAAAAAAGAAGCTTTTTTTTACCGAAAACCGTTCTATCCATGGGGGAAAAACTCTTTAGGTTGAATGATTTTATTCTGACTATTATTTATGAAGTGCAACTGCTTGAACTGGTTTTGCTGTCACATTTGACCCCTACTTATTCAATCTTTGAAGTACATAAGCTTCTTGTTGAAGTTTTAATTGCTAAATATTATGTATAGATCTCCATTTAAGTCCGCTGTATGTTTGCTTCTAGCTTATTCCTTGATTATGCCTGAAGTTGTCATATTGAGTATCAATTCTCTTTTTGTACTCTCTATTTGTGTTTTTATGGAAGATTTGAATATCGATTACATAAAGGGGTTTTATTGTTTATTGTGCATTCCATCAGAGTAGAATTCTTTTATTATTCGCTGTACTGCTGTCTGATGATAAGAGACTCACCCCGATGTTATGTTGCTGCAGGTACCACTTGTGCTACGGTGCTGACTCAGGCAATATTTACAGAAGGTTGTAAATCAGTGGCTGCGGGGTTGAATGTAATGGACTTGCGCAGTGGTATAAATATGGCCATTGATGCTGTTATTGCAGATCTGAAGAGCAGAGCAGTTATGATTAGTACACCTGAAGAGATTACACAGGTGAGTGACCCAGGAAGAATTTTTTTTAGCTCTTTTGAATGAATTTGCTAGAGAAGTGACCACTAGGTTTGAAACCTTTCTTTATAATTATGTTTGAAGAAGATAAGGTTTGTGCTTAAATTTGTTGTTGGGACATCAAAAATATTGGTAAAACTGAGAAGGAAAGTGCTTGCCTGTATGTTCCTTTCACTTTCAGCCATTCACATCGTCCAATGTAACCTGGTTTTCATAATTTCCGAGACTGATTCCAAGAAGGTAAGAAATGCATGCTTGAAATTGTTTCTGATTTTTTATTTGGCACACCATTCTGGTTACTTTCTGATTATTACTCACGTCAACAATCAATTTCTTAGCCAGGATACCAGTGTTCTTCATTTTATTTTATTTTTTTTGCTCTAATTTATGTATCTGAATTCTAGGTGGCCACTATCTCTGCAAATGGCGAACGAGAAATTGGGGAACTGATAGCACGGGCAATGGAGAAAGTCGGGAAGGAAGGAATCATCACTATTGCTGTAAGTATGTTGCAATTTCGAACTTTCAATTCGTAATGATCTATGCGTGATGGATTGTAAGTGATCGGCAATCATGCAGGATGGAAATACTCTGGATGATGAGTTGGAAGTGGTGGAAGGGATGAAGCTAGCCCGTGGTTATATATCTCCTTATTTTGTTACAGATGAGAAGACTCAGAAGTGTGTACGTATAGATAGTGGCTAATCATGATATACTTGTACTCTTATAATTAGCACCCTCAAATAGCTGTCAAATCTAAGAATCCGTATACACAATATGAATTTTTTTTTT